CATGTGCCGTCGAGTCGGATCCAACTCATAGCAACCCCTCCTTGGGTTTCTGAGGCAGTATCACTATGGAAGTAGATTGCCCCATCTTCCTTCCGAGGGTCTTCCTTGTAGGTGTATGGATATTATCCTATCACTGACAGCGTTGTACTTCAGGACAGACCTTGAAACATCCTTTGTGAAGATGAATGCCACGTCATTCCTCTTCAAATTATCATTCCTGGCATAGTAGATCTTATGGTTTATCATATGATCATATGGAATTATATTTAGGTATCTTCAAAGGATTGAGAGCCAGACCAAGGAAAACACAGACAAAACCCTAGAAGAATTTTGGAAGAAAATACAAGAACAAAATAATAAAATCAATGAAAAATTAGAAATGATTCTAAATCTACAGACAGAAATCCAGAAGATTAATACTAAATCGTCAGAAATAGATAACACATTGGAAGGGCAGAAGACTACAATTAATGCAATGGAAGACAGAATTAATGAGATTGAAGACAAATACCTGAATACTTCTTTGGAAAGGGATCACTCAGCAAAAAGATCAAAACCACAATTATGATGACAAGGTAATTTTACTAATTATTCATGATCCTGATCCCTGAAATACATAGTTTATGTAGCTATTTTGCTTTTATTTTACCTTCTAAAATGACTTAGGGTTGATACATTTTTATTTATTGAGTAACTTAATGTAATTATAAAGGAAATTTAGTGAGTCCAGTATTACATTTTGAAATCAATGCAATTAATTCTTTGAAGTATTCAATGTAATTATACAATCAGCATAAACATTTAAAATAGTTGGTGTTCTGAGATACATGGGATCTCTTTATTACTTTTTACAATTGTACGTCAATCTAGAGTCATCTCAGAATAAAAAAGCTATGAAAGAAGGTGGTGACAGTTTTAAAACCAGAAAAAAAATACAATTACTTTTCAAGCACTATTAAAACACGAAAGTAAATTTAAAAGTAACTCTTTTGTATCATTTAATATAAAGGACCATAAATAAAATTCATTAAAAAAAACATTTAAAGGCTTTTTACCAGATTTCTTTTTAAAATCTTTATTCTGAATTGTCTTCTATCAGTGAAACCATGCCCATACCATGAAGATGAAATAGTCTACCACATAACACCTGCTCAGTCAGTCTGGGCTCACCTCTGAATTGTCCATGGCCTCCTTCAGTATACTGGAGTGTGCACTCACAGCCTGCACTGCAGCCTTTTGAGCTGCAATTGCCTGCAGAGTGATGCGAGCAGTTTGGCTCAGAGAATCTTCTAATCTCTTGGCTAAGGCTGAAAAAAAATAAAACTGTTAAAAACAGATCCCTGCTTCCATACATGGCTCTTAGTGAATATGCATGATGGACATATTCGGGTTCTTATATTATGTTTACTTTTATGGATATCTGAATTTCTTCAAAATAAAAAGTTTTTTGGTTTTTAATTTTTTTGGTAAGAAAAAGATTTGCTTAAAGACAAATAACACATTTCAAAAGAAAGCAACAATGTTTAAGATCCTACCAACTACCATAAAACCAAACTCATTGCCATTGAGTTAGTTACAACTAATAGTGCCCCTTTAAGACAGTAAAAATGCCACATAGAATTTCCAAAGTTGTAATCTTTATGGAAGCAGACTGTCACATCTTTCTCCTGTGGAGCTGCTGAATGGATTTGAACCACCAACCCTTTAGTTAAGAGCCAAGCATTTCACCACTGCACCACAAGAGGCTATAAACTCAGCATAACCAATGAATTTTTTCATTTTAAATAATGATCCAGAGACCAATGGGAAAAAGAGGTGCCTATTTCCAGCTCCTTAGCCAGAAGGGATACTCATAGCAAAACACCTCTATCCCTAAGACATAAGCTGTTGTTCTTATTGTTGTTAGCCGCTACTGAGTCAATTTTTGGCTCACAGTGACCCCATTTGACAGAGTACAACTGCCCCACTGGGTTTCCTAGGCTGCAATCTTTATAGAAGCAGATATCTCTAGATCTTTTTCCTGTGGAGGCCACTAGGTGGATCAGAGCTGCCAACCTTCCTGTTAGCAGCTGAGTATTGTCAGCAGCTGCACAAGGAACCACTGCACCACCTAGGACTCTAAGATTTAAGATAATAGAGAAAAAGAAAGAAAAAGACAAACATGAAAACAAAAAAGAAAAGGTAGCTTGGGAACAGATGGTCTAAAGACCAAAACAATAGGAGACTCCAGTGGTCAAAGAGCTACAATATATTAAGATCACATTTCTAATGTAATTGATATGACTACACTATTTACTTGACAAATGTTGAATTGACAAATGTTGTGCTACATATATTTTTAAACAGTTTTTTAAAAAGTACATTTCTATAGGCTGCTTAAGAAGTATCAAAAAGAAACCTCAAAATAAAGAAGGAATAAAATAAGTGATGATTTTAGATAATGTGCTGATATGGAAAAATGATCACTGAAGAAAGGAAGCCAGTGGGAATAAGAAGATAGTAACAGTTGATATCAGAGATAGTGAAAAAAAAAAGAGAGAAAATATATTTGACAGATGAGACTAAAACAAAAGGAAATTTTAAGCAAAAGAAGCAAAAGCAGATTTTGACAGTAGCTTTGCAGAGAAATGAACAAACAGAACCTGATAAACCACAAGTGGTACATATGTAACACAGGCAAAAGAGGAAAGCTAATTACGAGAAAATACTAAGAAATGGATGTAGGATTAAAATTAAACTAGAGAGGCAGGGGACAAAAAGAGAAGGAATATATGAGATTTGCTTGAGTTAACAGTGGGAAATCCAAGTGCAGATAATAGTGAACTGCATGTACAGGCCCACACACCCAGGAAGGCTGACTACTGCTTACAGCTCTCTTTAGAGGTCTATTCAATGTGTTCTGGCCCTTAATAAAAATTACATGGTACATTAGCACTGTTCCAATTCTTAATAAAAATCAAAGACACAACATACATACCTATTTTAAGTTTGGGAGAAAATTAAGAGGCAATAGACAAAGTCCTGAAAATGTTCACCCACCCGAGGGTGAAAGTAAAAGGAAGTGAAAAAAGACACATGTATCTTAAATTTATAATTTACTCCAAGTGTCCACATGACAAAGGAAGAAAAGTGAAAAGTGAAGAAAAACAGGAATAAAAGAAAAAAGTGACCTCAGTTTGAAGCAGCAGAAAATTCAGGAAAAGTTAAGAAGTGTGAAAAAAAAGTATAAAAATATTTCACTTATTTAAAAGTGATTTATTCAACATTCTCAATTATTTCTAACACAGCCAAGAACTCAAAAGATAGCAAAAGCAAACAAAAATACTAAGCACTCAAACTAACATCCCGACATATATGCTCTGTCTCTTCTTTTACACAATTCTAACTTGGTTCTTCAGAGTAAGTCAGAACCAATCAATCAGAGGAAAACAGAAGCTACTCAAGCTAGGAAGCTTTCAGCACTAATCGTAACAAAAACAAATGGAGAAAGTACTTGTATTATATGTGAATTTTCACCAACTATACACTAGAATGTCTCTTGTCATCTGGGTAACAGAAGTTCAGATGGAAAGAACACAAATGATAAAATAAAGGAGGCTAATAGAGTAATGTCATTTAAGAAAGAAAAAGAAACCACAGCTAGCTGATGGACAAGAAACTTGTGCTGATGGTTTAAGAAAGCAACTGACAGAGATGATCCAAAGCAATTGTTTACATACACTCAATTTCAACTTGTTCTTGCTTTTCCTGTTGTGCAAGACGAGCTGCAACTTCTTCAGGTGGTCGTTCTCTTACAGTAGATGAGGATGCTTCCTCTTGCAGCAAAAGTAAATAAGAAGAAATCAAATTTCAGCACAGAACTTCAACAGCTAATGGATATAAAACACCATCATTTGTACGTGCCAGTTAGATTAGCTGAGGACAAACTGTGTTAAGAATCCTAACACCACATCATCACTGTTAATGATTCCAAAATGAGTATCAGAGATCATCTCCTAACCCCCACTTTTGAAAGATTTCAGAAAAATTTCCTAAGCAAGTGTGAAGACTTAAAATTAGCATAAATTTATACTTAGATAGTATATCTGGGTGTTGTCTAGGCATTAAATAATTCTGATGAGCATACCATTTATAAAACAACAAATATAAATTATTAAACTACCTGAAGTTGCAGGCATGGGTTTTCCTTCACCAACTGCAGAGAGATCAAGTTTTACGGATTCCTCATGTTGAACCGCAGGAGCGGGGACTGACAGTGTATCACCTGCTGCAGAAATAATTTGAGCTGCCTCTGTAGGTGCTATAAATATATGTTACTCATGTATTTACAGTTTCCTGGGTTAACAGGAATCTACTACTACCACCACCCACTGCAAGTTGGACTCCTTAAACAAATACATGCACAGCCACTATTCAAACACACAGACTGGGCACTGCTCAATGCATTTGCAAACTCACACAAAATGGACAATGGCTGGGAAAGCAGAAGAGAAAGAAGTCTTGCAAGTATCCTCTCTAATTCAACCATCACTAGTTATCCTTAGGCAAGGTTTCTAGTAACAGCACTACACAGTACCAAATCTTAACATACAAAAAGAACACATAAGATTTACACAATATGGAAAAACAATAGCAAAGGAAAAAAGACCCTATAATGAAGATGAGAAGGCTAACCAAAGTGAGTTTTATCAGATAGACTAAAGGATTTATCCTTTAAATATTTGATAAAGTTTTATCAAATAGACTAAAGGATTATTTAAGATATAGAAAGTAGGATTATAAGAAGGTCTGTTAACTCCCTGCTTCTGCCCTTGGTCCCCTATTATCTATTTGCAATAGCCACAGTGATCCCATTAAAATGAAAGTCAGATATCATTCCCTGGCTCAGAACCTCCACTGCCTTTCTATCTCACTCAGAATACACACCAAATTCTTACGCTGACTTCCATACATAGCCATGATAGGCTTTCTGTTCCCTGTGCCCCTTACTCACTCCACTCCAGCCTCGTTTGCTTCTTGCATGAATATACCAAGCCTTCACTAGCAAATCCCTGGGCCTGGGATACTTTTCTCACCAGCTTATTCCTACACGCATTATTCCTTAATCTCAGTCTACTCTTCTCAAATGACATCTTGTAGGTGAGGCTTTCCTTACCTACTTCATTTAAAATTACAACATTCCTTCTCATATTTATCACTGAGGGACATGCTATATATTAATTGTTTATTTGTGTATGATCTCTCTTCTCCTCACCCTACCAATGAGTATTAGCAGAGAAGTTTGGCTTTCTTTCCTATTTTGTTCATTGTTTTATTCTTAGTGGCTAGAAGAATGCCTAGCATTTAGTAAATACGTAAGTTAATATTTGCTAAGAGGAGAGGAGAGAGAGAAGGTAATTTAATGAAGGACAGAAGTAATTAAGGAGAAACATAAGAAGTTCAAATGTACACGAAACAAGTTAGAATCAGCTAAGTGCTTTAAATTAGGGGGGATTACTGCAAAATCACAAAGGCAAAAAAAAATAACTAGAAGGGACTACAGCAAGACACTTTTATCACTAAGAAAGCAAAGACCAAGAATTGGTGAAAACATAGAAAAAATTAGAGGAAAGAGAAGAAAACCATCTGTTGTAAATAAATCTTGGCCAACAGCCTCACTCAACAGGTATTCAAAATAAAGCCCAATTTCACATCTCATTCAGCCCCTAAAATGAAAGCCAAAATGTTACATGGGACTGCTCTTTCCCAGGGGGGAGAGGTGGAACCAGAAGAGTCCTTCACAGGAAGGGTTCTCTTCTTTACTGTGGGTACATATAAATTAAAGCAATGCATTTATCTAATTTTGAAAGAATGGTTCCAAATATAGGTACCTGTTGTTGAAGCTGGAATGTCTCCTTTTTGTTTCTGGAGGTAGGAGGCAGGCTGTTTAGATTCTTTCGTTGCCTCTGATACACCAGAGATTTTTAGTGGATCAGACTGAATCTTGGAAATGAAAAACATTTAATCATTTAGATATAATACTTTTTTGTTTTAATGTAGCATGCAGGAATCTGTAATACTTCAAAAGTCAAGTATTTCAGGATTTTAAGTTAGTTATCAAAGCTTTATAAGAATGTATTTGATCAGCGATACTAAAAGAAGCCATTAACTAGAAAAATAAGCTCAAAATTTTCACTCCAAACTAGACCATATTTTGGTATAAGAAGGGCTTCCCTTAGAGCATATGATAAAGTACATGACATATGACCCTCCCTCTTAAACATCACACCTTTTACATATATAACATCTAGAAAACTATCTTAATTTCTTTTCTAAATTATACTGTTGCAGTGTAGTAAATTACTTAGTGTGGCTTTTCTACCCATAACTCTTTGTAAACTCCGAGGTGGAATTTGCCATGAGCAACTAAGGAACTCCTGATTGCTAAAGTTGTCCACCTGGGGTATTTCTGTGGGGCATGGCACTAAACAATGTTCTGGGAGGTTCTCATTCTCTTTCAGGTGTTTAGAATTCTCATGTTATGATTAGTCGGTTCGGCCACTCTGCCGGGCTCAAAAGGAGCCCTCAAAAGGGCTCAAAAAGCCTGCCGAGCTCAAAAGTTCTGCCCTCTAGGCCCACGACTCTCTCTCTGACTGCCGGTTGAGGAAGACATGCTGCTGAAAGAGACACACACTGCTGGGAAAGAGACGCAAGCGACACACATTGCTGAGTGAGACACCAAGGGACTCACTGTTGGGAGAGAGACTGTGGGCTGGGAGAGAGACTGAGCATTTTTCCTGAACTTGAATTATAGCCTGGTGCTTCCCTAATAAACCCCGTAATCTGTGAGTTCTGTGTGGCCACTGCAGTGAATTATCGAACCCAGGAGAGAGGTGGTGGGTGCTTTGGGTGGAACCGTTGGCGAAAGGGCTGGAGGGAGGCAGCATGTCTGGCCTTGTGGGAATAGGCCTTGGGTTACTGATGGTGATTCTGTCTTCCTCTTGTGCAGTTAGAGGAGGTCAGAACATGTGGCCTCCTTGCCCTTTGTGCAACTGTCTTCTACATATATTTAGTTAGGAACAAATGATTTTTAGAGGCTCTGAGTGAAAAATGAAAATTAGCTTTTGGTTTCTTTAATCTCCCAGGAGTCATGCAACGGCGCACTAAAATATATGGTCCAGTTTGAGTAATGTCTGCTGTTTTCTTTCCTAATTACTGCCCGCCTTACATTTAAGGCACTGTTCATTAACAGAACTGCCAAAAAGCAGGCCAGAGAACATTACCGAGTAACAGAAATATTTATATTTACTACCTATGTTGTCCTACTTTTTGCCAGATCTTGGCAGAGGAACTCAGGTATTCTCAGATGACTACTCAAACGTTAAAAAAAAAAAGGTTCCAAACTTTGTTACTACTAGAAATTAGAAATATAACCACTATCTTTTTAAAAAATTTCTTTACTGTTATTTTTTAAAATCATGAAATAAATGCTTGTTGTAACAAGCAAAATAATATCAAGATATACTAATGGCTTTAACTTGTCTCTTTACCACTCCTTGCCCTTCCAGCACTCTCAAGTAGCCAATGCTATCCTTTCATTCCAAACATAAGCTCAGATACAAACCATACACCATTTTTCATTTCTTTAAATTACAATTGTAAGGCCACAGTAAGGAGAAGAGGACACACAAAAGTGAGGTTAAAGAGAAGTTTTTATTCTGAGTTTCCGGGCAAGGTTCATGGGTCCCTGAGAGGGGCCCGGGAAGTTGCACCGTCTGGCTGGGGAGGGGAGGGTTTATAGTCTTGTGGAGGACCTACGTGGGGACACTAAGGAAATAGTGGGGTCCAATTAGCTGTTAGTATGGGTCTGCACTTAATTAGCATGAAGGGGCTTCACAAGAGGAAGCTTGCCACTGCATGGGACTTTCCAGTCTGGGCGGGTTCTGTCACTTCGGTTGTCTTCTCAGGCTGTCTCATCAGGGCTTGACACCCGGAGGAAGCTGCTAACTGAAATGTTGGTGGCTTGGGTTTGCTTCGGCCTAACACACATAACTTGCTCTTTTCATTTAACAACATATTACAGACATTCTTCCAGGTCAAAGAAATTCTTTTTAGTTGCAAAATATCCTAATGTAAGATATAGCTCGTAATTTAGTCAAAAACTCTCTTATTTATGAACACTGAAGTTGTTTTCTGTTTCGTTTTGCCACTACAAACAACACAGCAATAAATAATGTTGTTGTTGTTGTTATGTGGTATCGAGCTGCTTCTGACTCAGTGACCCCATGTAAAATAGAATGAAACACTGCCCAATCCTGTGACATCCTCACAATCTTGCTCATTGTTGTAGCCACTGTGCCAATCCATCTTGTGGAGGGTCGTTGTCTTCTTCACTGACCCTTTATCAAGCATGACGTCTATCTTCAGAGAAGTTCCAACTGATAACATGCCCAAAGTATACGAGGTAAATCTCACCATCTTCTGGCAGTCCATAGTTTATGTTCAGTATTCTTCATAACACCTTAATTCAAATGCATCAGTTTTTTTCAATCTTCCTTATTCATTGTTCAGCTTTTGTATGCATATGAAGCGACTAAAAAATACTATGGGTCAGGCACACTTTAGTCCACAAAGTGACATCTTTGCTTTCTAACACTCTAAAGAGGTCTTTTGCAGCAGATTTGCCCAATGCTATAAGCACAGAGATTGAAAAATATTGGACAGCTAACAAAACATGGGCAACTACGGAGATGAATTCAAGAATTCATCTGAGAGCATGGGACTATTTTTAATACAAACAAGCAAATCAAGAGGAGCGTTAGTTTTGAGGTGGGCCAGTATGGACAATGCTGAGTTATCCAAAGTGGAAATACTCAGCAGGTTGGTTAAAGGCGAGTGAGGAAAGACCAAGGTTATCAAGAGAGATAAAGGAATCATCTACAAAGAATGGCACTGGAAGCCATGGCAAACAGCGAAGAACCCTGTTCCGAACTTATTGCCATGACTCCATGTCCTAGAACTGCTACCAGCCATTTCTCCTGGATCACACAGATTAAAGCAGACCCACGACTTTAGAATGAACCCACAGGATTCTGCTCCTTAAGTACTGCAACACTATCTCCCTCACCAAACACAGACTTCTATATTAAGGTTCTTAACCCAAGAACAACCAAGAGACTATGCTAGATACTGGAGAAGAGAAGTCCACCCAGTGTCTAGAAAAAATTGATCAGCCATGTCGAGCATAATGAACCCAATAATAATTCAGCAAGAAATCCATACTTTCTTTGGTAGTATTTTTTTCTTTTCATGCTGCTGTAGTTCAATGGGAATGACCCCAGTGGCACAGTGTTTAAAGCTCTCGGCTGCTAACTAAAAGGTGGGTAGTTCAAACCCATGAGCTGCTCTGTGGGAGAAAGATGTGGCCATCTGCTTCCATAAAGATTTACAACTTTGGAAACCCTATGGGGCAGTTCTACTCTGTCCTGTAGAGTCACTATGAGTTGGAATTGACTAAATGTCAGGGGTTTGGCTTGGTTTTGAATATTTGAAAGAAGAAATATTTAAGATTAATTTTTAAAAAATTTAGGCTTGTCAGGTAAAAAGCTGAAACTCTAAAGAATATGCACAGTTGACTTACTGGAAAATAGTGCTATTAATCTGTACAATGCTAATAATTCTGTGATTCTGTTGTATGGTCTAAAAGGAGCCATTATTAACTGTAACAAATGGGTTCTGCATCATAACCATTCTACATTTGTGTTTTCAATGTTCTGAACTACAGCTTAACAGCTGTAATGGTGTGGGCTGACACACAGACTCCTGAGGTCACAGGACAGCCAGGGTCACCTTCGCCTGAGCCACCTTTTCCACTCACCCTCACATGCTGCACAATTATTTTCCATGTGGCACATACTAGATGAGAGCCCTAAGGGTTAAAAAATCACCTGCATACATTAAGTTCAATTTAAAGTTCACTGACAAATACACATCTGATATACATCGGGCAAGTTCTACTCAACTGTACAAACAAAATATTTTCAGGATAAAAAACCCTGCAATAACTTCTTTTTTTACTATATTCAACATCATAAACTGAAATATTTTTGAAAATTCTTACCGGCTTCTTTGGCAATGGAACAGTGTAAGGTGCAGAACCAAGAATCATCTCAAAGAGTTTGTCTGAATAAGGTATGGTTTTCTCTACACTTTCCCGGAAATGGGAATCCCATTTGGCATATAAGATAGTGCCACCAATACCTCCACCAACAAACAGAAGGCCAGCTCCAACGATTTTGCCAGCAGTCGATCTAAGGGAAAGAAATGGGGAAACATTTATATTTCTTGGCTATCCTGTAGCTATCCCCCTAGGCCAATGTAAGTTTCAAAAGCCTCTAACACTACTTCTCTACCACTGATTCAGATGTAGCAGTCAATTTTACCACCACAGCAACACATTATCTTTTGCTCATTTGTTTTTAATATGTTTGTTTTTAACATGTTTGCAATAGAAAATAGCATTTATTAAAAACACATTGCCACTGAGTCAATTCCAACTCACAGCGACCCTACAGGACAGGGTAGAATTGGCCCACCAGATTTCGAAGGCTGTAAATTTTTATATAAGCAGACTACCTCATCTTTCTCCTGTGGAGCGGCTGGTAGATTCGAACTGCCAACATTTTAGTTAGCAGCTAAGGGCTTAACCACTGCATCACGAGGGCTCCTTATTTATTAATACTAGACTAGAAATAATGAAGCAATCTATCCTTTAATACTTAAAACTCAGAGGTTCACAATCATAAGATTTCCTCTGAACCCAACAAGAATTATCATTAACTTTCAAAGTACCTCTCCTTAAACATTTCTGAAAATATAATATACTCTTTAGAAAAATAATGCAAATACCAAATACAATTTTAAAATATTTTTTAAGTCATGACTTGCTGAGTTCTATATAAATCTATTTGCTGTACAACAGAAGCTAGCACATGAGGAGATTCTGCTGTGCATGCCATTCAATTACCAAAGAGCTAAAAGGTACACCACATTTCACCCACATATAAAAAAGGCTCCAGAAGGTCCCCAAAAAATATTACAGCAAAGTTCTATTTTATGTATGCCTTAAAAAAAATGGGAGGTTTTAAGCAGCTATTTGCATATTCAAGGAAAATACACAAAAAAAAAAAAAAACAGCCTTAGCAGCACACAGTTTAAAAATCTAGTTACAGGGAGACATAGTACATACCCAGAACTGCCTGAAGAAGAATATCTACGGCAGGGTCGCAATGGACGAAGGACAAATTTACCACAGAAACAACTCTAAAGAGAAAGGAGAAAACATTACAGCCAATACAGCAATTAAAAGAATCTGGGGAACTAATTTTAGAGTTGGTAACTCAAAAATAATACAAATGTTTGCATTAAACAAAAATTTATTTTATTTTCAGAAATTAATTCACCATGAAAACATATTTGTAGACCCTTTAAAATATGCAGATGGTTCCTGCAACCCAAGACTTATACCAATTAATGCTTTTAAGTGTTATGTACGCTGCTAAAGAGGCACGGAGCAGCATCTTCTGATCTCCTGTAATGTCACAAAAGACAGAATCACCATCAGCAAGCAGTTCAATACCTGTTCCTATGAGGCCAGACATGCCGTCACCCTCCAGCCCTCTTATGACTGATTTTGATACCAACCATCGCTCCTGCCACCTCCTCTCTACTGGGTTTGATAATTCACTGCAGTGGCCACACAGAACTCACAGATTATGGGGTTCATTAGGGAAGCAACAGGCTACAATTCAAGTTCAGGAACACACTTAGGATATAATTCTTCAATCAAAGCCTGCCTCTGTATCTTGTGCCTCTTGGTTCCACTGCCACCTCTCTCAGCCAGGCAGCTCTCTCAGCCAGCAGTGAGATTCTCTCCCTCTGCCTGTAGGAGGACTCACTTTAAGCCTGGCAAAGTGGCAAAACTAACCAACCCCAACATAAGAGTTCTACACACCTGGGGGAGAGAGAGTGAGAGAGAACTTTCCCAGAAGATTACTTCCTGCTGCGCTGACAGAAATACCCCAAGTGGATGACTTCAATAATCAGGAGTTTAAAAGCAGCTACTCAGATGCTCACAGAAAATTCTACCAGAAAGTTACCTGCCAGCCAGTCTCATTAATAATAACTACTACCAGCTGCCACCAAGTTGACACATATTTGCATGGTCCCACCCAGTAATCCAGGAGCTCTGGTAGCATAGTGCCTAAAGCACTTGACTACTAACCAGAAGGCTGGCGGTTCAAACCCACCAGCCACTCCTTGGAAAGAAGGTTGGGCAATCAACTTCCGTAGTGATACTGCCTCAGCAACCCAAGGAGGGGTCACTATGAGGTGGGGCCGACTCAACTGCACATAACAACAACCCGGTGGAAGTTACAAAGACTATGGCTAGAAAAGCCATACCATGTAATTCACTACACCACAGTTTAACAACTATTTCTTGGACTTGTGATTTTGCCATGATTTCTTGATTGCCAAGTAGAAAAAAAACAGTAGTATAAAGTATTTATTCTTCCTTTGTAAACTTAATTTGGACATCTGGAAAACTGCCAGAGTCTAGCTAAAAGCACTGATTACAGGAAGCACAGAAATCCCCTCAGGGAGAGATCCAACCCTAGTTCAATTTCCAGAACACATGTTTTCCATCTCTACACTAACTACGTAGCCAATCAATTCCTACATTCACCTAAATCTAAAAGTTCACTTTTGGTTTTTTCTGGTATGTCACTAGACTAAAAGTCAACATATTTTTAAAGAAAAAAATTTTATGTGTAAATGCCAAAATATATTTATCTCCATATAACATGTCTATCTCTTCAGTAGCAAATGATGAGGTCAACTCTTTGTGATTTATTTTCATTGGGGAAAAATATATGTAACAAAATATGTCATTTCAACCACTGTTATATGCCTAGTTTAATTACATTATGTTCACCATGTTGTACAACCATCACCATTTTAGTTTCCAAATTTTCTCATCACCCTGAACAGAAACTCAGTGCCCTTTAAAAAAAAATTCTCCCTCCTGCCCCTAGTAATCACAAATAAACTTCTGTCTCTATGTATTTACCTATTCTAGATATTTCATATACATAGGATCATATACTATTTGACCTTATGTCTGACTTATTTCCCTTAACATAATCAAGATTCATCCATATTGTAACATGTACCAGAATTTCATTACTCTTTATGGCTGAATAATACTTCATATTGTGTGTGTGTGTTTGTCTGTCTGTGTGTGTGCATGCATGCATGTGATATTTTGTTTATCCATACATATGCTGATAGACACTTGGATTGTTTCCATTTTTTGGCTATTGTGAATAATGCTGCAATGTACATTGGTGTAAAGTATCTCCTTGAGTCCCTGCTTTCAAGAGTTTTGGGTATATACCGAAGAGTGGAATTGCTGGGTCATATAGAGGAGCTCTGGTAGCATAGTGGCTAAGACACTTGCCTGCTAACCAGACGGCTGGCGGTTCAAACCCACCAGCCACTCCTCGGAAGGAAGGTTGGGCAATCCTACTTCCGTAGTGATACTGCCTCGGAAACCCAAGGAGGGGTCGCTATGAGTCGGGTTTGACTCGACGGCAAACAACAACAACAACAACATAGTAATTCTAAGGAATTAACATTCTCAGGAACCGCCAAACTGTTTTCCACAGTGGCTGCACCATTTTACAATCCCACCAGCAGTGAATGAGGGTTCTAATTTCTCCATACTCTCACCACTTGTTGCTTTACATGTTTCTGATAATAGCCATCCTATATGCATTTCTCCAATGACTAAAGACACTGAACGTGTTTTCACATGCTTATTGACCATTAGTATATTCAAGGCCTTGCCCGCCTTTTGATTGGGTTGTCTTTTTCTCACTGCTTTGAATTCTTCATGTATTCTGGATATTAAACCCTTATCAATACATCCAAACCAAACCAAACCAAAACCCACTGCCGTGGAGTCGGATCCAACTCACAGCGACCCCTCCTTGGGTTTCCGAGGAGGTATCACTATGGAAGTAGGACTGCCCAACCTTCCTTCTGAGGAGTGGCTGGTAGGTTTGAACCGCCAGCCTTCTGGTTAGCAGTCAAATGTCTTAGGCACTATGCCACTAGAGGTCCCTATCAATATATAAGTTTTAAACTAGTTTATCAGAGCATTTCCTAAATATTTACCAGAAACCAAACTCACTGCTGTTGAGTCATATCCAACTCAACTATCAATACCTAGTTCCCAAATATTCTCTCCCATTCTGTAGGTTGTCTCCTCACTTTGCTGATAAAGCCCTTTGGTGTGCAAGTTTTTAAGCTCAATGAAATCCATGTTATTTATTTGCCTTTTGTTGTGCATGTTTTGGTGTCATATCTAAGAATCCATTGTTGAAAATTAGGTCCTGAAGCATTACTCCTAAGTTTTGTACTAAGAGTTTCACAGTTTTACTTCTTACATTTAAATTGTTTATCCACTTTTGAGTTAATATTCATACCTCATGTGAGGTATGGATCCAGCTTCATTCTTTTGCATGTGATTCATTTTAATCAAAGTAAAATATGTAAACATCAATGTTTCTTAAAAATCTGTAGACCGCTTAAGTAAAACAAATAAACAAGCACTGGGCAATCTACTTCCGTAGTGATACCGCCTCAGAAACCCAAGGAGGGGTCACTATGAGTTGGATACAACTCAATGGCAGAGAGTTTGGGTTCTGGTAAATATTATTCAGGGAATGCTCTGGTAAACTAGTTTAAAACCATTTTTATCTTAGCTCAGAGAGCAGGACTGCATAGGAAAGAATATAGGGAAAACAATAAAACCATTTATATCAATTTCAAATTTATGGCATCCTTAAAGGAAATCTTTCCTTTTTAACAATTTGAAAAACAAACTGCAACAAGTCAAGAAAAAGGGGGTGGGAGGCGGGACAAGATGGCGGACGAGGCAGAAGGATTGCACAGACCCTCTTCAACAAAGAAAAGGGAAACCAATTAACACAGACACAGAAGATAATCTTGGACCCCTGAGCCCT